TTTCATCGTGTTTTTGAGTCAAGAGTGAAAAGTATATGAATTTTAACATTCCTGAAAATAGGGAGTTTTTTTCTTTCTTAAACTTTTTTAATGCTCTATATATATAAAAGACATATGAAAGTCATCGCTCAAAAACGATGAAACAAATTAAAGGAGAAAAGAAAAAAAAGAGCAATTACTCTCTAAATAGCTGTTATTCTTAACGAGAAAAGTTTTTTTCCATGACATGCTGAAAAAACGAATACTGATTTATTGCACCAGGAGACAATCGCGACTGGAATGACATTGTCCCCTTCCACCCTCCTTCATCGCATCTATCCCTCTCCACGATGGAATTCAATTAAATATGAATTTTATAAAATCCTCTCAAATTGACATCAGCATTTCGATAAATATCTTTTTAAACATCGCCTCTTTAAAATTGTTGTCAATGAAAAAAATTGAATTACAATATTTTATTAAATTTTTTTTTTTTTAAATTGAAACTGAAAAAAAGAATTATTTTATTTAAATAAACTTTTTTTTCAGTGTACTCTACTGGAAATATAGTAGAATTTTTAAGTCTGACTAGAAATTTACTTTTACTATTGAAACAAAAAATTACAGGAGTTTAAAAAATGTTTTTTTGATTATAATTTCGCTTTTTACTAAAATTTGCACGATAATACTTTTATAAATTTTTATTACTACACGGAAAAAAATATTTTTGAAAGCAGAGATCATTAGAAATGTTAATACGATTAGATGAGAATTTTGTGTATGTAGAGTTGTACTGTACCGGAAGCGCCTGTCTAGAATAGTTACATGCTTTAAATGATAGCCGAGTGTTGGTGTATGTATATATATGTACGAAGAGATAAACCCGAGCAGTGAATTTCTGCCAGTGGTGGTTCGTCCGGAAGACACAAACCAGAACTGTTGTATTGCGTTATGTATGAGGTGTGCACAAAATCATGCCAACTATGGATATAATGTTGCCCAAATGTTACGTGACATGTCATGTAAAGCCTTATTTCTCTTAGCCACAATTCCGCTTTGCTCTATTTACCCCTTCCTTCCTCCCTTTTCCACAGTCAACTTCCCCATGAGAACATAACAGATTTTAACTTCACGTTTACACTTTCAGCTATATAATCTTACACTTCCTCTATTTTGACTCCACTTTACTGCAATAATAATCTCATGTACAAATTTGCCTTTAATACTTTGTTATATTAGCATTTATATATATATATATATATATAAAATAAAATTCAAATTTTTTTTTAATAATTTCTATTTCAAAAATTGTGTAATAATTTTTATTTCAAAAATTATTTAATAATTTTTATTTTTAAAATTATTTTAACAATTTTTATTTATACTTGTGTCATTAAACGTTTTATCCCCCATGAATATGTCAGTGAGTGTAAGAACCATAATAGCTTCAGCAAGAAGGGATGCTTTACCAAGATTACCATTCGCATTCTAAATGCCACAGCTAAATATATTAATACAGGACAATGTAAAAAACAATATAATTTTTTTATGTTTATATAATTATAATATTACAATTAAATAAAATATAATGTAAAAAAAATTTCTTTGTGAAATTTAAAAAAAATTCTTATAATTTTAGTATAAGTAGTAAAAGCAAATTTTAGTCAGACAGAAGAATAATTATTTTTTTCGTATCAGTAGTAATAGTCAATTTTTAGTCAGTGTTATTAATAGTAACAGTAAATTTTAGTCAGACGGTATTAAAATTCTTGTAATTTAAAAATAAGTAGTATAAGTAAATTTTAGGCAGACAATAGGTTTTTTTTCAATTTTTGTACAAGTAGTAAAAGTAAATTTTAGTCAGACATCGTGTACTAAATTTTTGTAATTTAAAAATAAGTAGTAAAAGTAAATTATAGTCAGACAGAAGAGTAAAATTTTGTATATTTTGTATTTAAGTACTAATAGTAAATTTTTAGTCAGACAAAGTTTTAAATTCTTATAGCTTTGTTACTAATAGTAAAAGTATCAAACAGATTAATTTTCCTAGTTTTGGTAGCAGTAGTAAAAGTAAATTAGCGTCAGACAAAATTCTTGTAATTTTTATGCCAGTAGTAAAAGTAAATTTTAGTCAGACATCGTGCTCTAAATTCTTGTAATTAAAAAATAAGTAGTATAAGTAAATTTTAGGCAGACAATAGGTTTTTTTTAATTGTTTGTACAAAGTAGTAAAAGTAAATTTTAGTCAGACATCGTGTACTAAATTTTTGTAATTTAAAAATAAGTAGTAAAAGTAAATTGTAGTCAGACAGAAGAGTAAAATTTTGTATATTTTGTATTTAAGTACTAATAGTAAATTTTTAGTCAGACAGAAAGTTTTAAAATCTTGTAGCTTTGTTACTAATAGTTTTAGTATCAGACAGATTAATTTTCCTAGTTTTGGTAGCAGTAGTAGAAGTAAATTATCGTCAGACAGAATTCTTGTAATTTTTATACCAGTAGTAATATTAAATTTTAGTCAGACATCAATAAATATATAATTAAATTTCTGAAGAATACGATTATTTTTAGAGTAATAAAAAAATGATATTGAAGAAATAATTAAAATTCTTATTTGATTAAAACAAACAAAAATTTTTCTCTTTCTTCTGGGAGATGTAAATAAGAAATATAGTGGAAAGAAGCAAAAAAAAAAATATTGTACGAAAAGGCGACTGCATTATCGGAATAAGCGAATCATCGCTACGCGCTTGCCGCAGAGAATTGGAACTTTATTCACTTTCTTTATTTTATTCTATTCTCTGTCCTTTTTCACGTTTGCCTGCAGTTGAGTAGAAAGTTTTTCGCGAGTTTTCTCTCTCTTTCTTTTTTTTTTTTTTTTTTTTTTTGGTTCAACCTCGAGACGACTATGGTTTAAAAGAGGGATATACGAATATCAGCAAATACGTGTGCTACTACGTTGCCATTTCTTTGCCGCACAATGCATCCTTCGTGCAACGAAAGATTCTTAAAAAAAAAAATTCTAAACTTTCGCTCGTGCAAACTTTGCGATATATATATATATATATATATATATATATATATATATTGAAATAACCTTTCGAAAAATTTAGTAGACTAATAAATCAACTTCACGTGTTGAATTTTCTATTTTTCGATATATTTTTTTTTCGTCGATAATTTAATCAAACCTTCACTATAATTTTATTAGTTTTCATATTAGAAAAATTTTTAAATTATATATCGCTGAGAATATTTTAATGACTGAAAATTCAATTAATTTTCACTATATAGCGTAATTTACGAAATGTTTATTCTATTAACGGCATTTACCTATTCCTATATATATTTCGAATCTTTAAATTTTAAACTAAATCTCTCTTGAAGGATATTTTAATTTATTCATGTATTTTTCGTGAAGAGTGAAATTCAATTAATTAAATACTTAAGAAAATTAAACGATCTAGAATTTATTATATGGGGCATTCTACATGAAATTTTAATTTTTTTTTTGTCTGGAAATTTTTTTTCGAAATCTTTATGAAAAATAAGAAAATATGTATTTATATAGAAAATGAAATCTTTTCCAAAATAAATTAAATGGAAAATAAATTATTATTTCATTATTAATTTTTTATATAAAACGTCATTGAGAATAAGATTAAAAAAGAAAATTGTAAACTCAACAATTGTAAAAAAAGTTATTTTCTAATTGAACTTTGTAAAAGTAAAAAGTACCAACTTTTTATTATTTCCTCCTCTTATATATATATATATATATATATATATCTATTTTTCGCGGAGATTTTATCAACATCTTGTATAAGGTTGCAGCTTTAAAGCTCATGTATAGGGTACTTGAAGAAAATGGAAAGAACATCCAAGAACAATAACAAATATCCTCTCTTTGTGTTGAAAGTTGAATCTATTTTAACGCTATCGACATTTCACTTTTTCCATCTTAGCGACACTCTACTCTTTTTATTTTTTTGTTTGGTTTCAAAAACTTGAAATCTCACTCAAATCAATTTAAAACAAAATATATTTTTCTCAATTTTAATCTTACTAAAACTATTTTATTTATTTTGAAATTCTCTAATTCTCAAAATAAAAATATTCCGTTAAATTTAGAATATTTTTTTTTCGATGCAATTTCGAATAAATACACAGAAAAAACAAAGTGTTATTTTAACACCAGAATTAATGTTAAAATAACACGCAACAAATTTTACCCTAAATCTGGGTTAAATCTTATGGGTTTTAGCATTGGAGAAAATTACCCGCAACAAAAATAACACCATCTTTTTTCTGTGTAAATTTTGGAAAAAATATTTTAAACTAAAGAAATAAGAAGTTCATGTATGGCAAATTATATATATATGATAACCTACTTTTCGAAAATAATCACGGCCTTAAATTTAATGAATTAATACTTTCTTCGCTACAAAATCGTCTAATTATATCACGTTGAATTGGGTTTGCTGACGTCAGAATAATGAAAATTAGCGACTAAGAGTGAATGCTAATTAACCCATATACCACAAAGATTTCATTAGAATTATACAACGAAACAGAAAAAAAAACTAAAATTAAGAATAAAATTCTCCATTATCTAATTCAAAAATATATTAATACAATTTTATTCTTAAATTCAATGTATTTTATACTCTTTAAAGGAAAATATATATTTGTCACTTTATTCCAAAATTTAGAAATATATTCTTATTTTAAGAGTATATAATAATCAAATATTTTTTTTTTCAATTTTCGCGTAAATAAAAAAATACCTCTGGAAATTCCATGGAATTTTCTCGATATTTACCGGGGGGGGGGGGGAATTTTTTTTTATTTATCTACGTGAAATAATGAAATTTAAGATTAAAAAAAAAAAAAAAAAAAAAAAAACTAGAAAATTGTGTGAAAAATATTTTCTTAAAAGGAAATTTTTTTTCTCTTTTTTCAAATGTAAAGCTAAGTCAAATTTTTCTATATTAACTTGTAAGTTTTTATTTGCAACTTACCTATATCCATTAGATGAAGTTCGCCGAGGTGTCGAGCAGCATAAAGATGGAGAACACCAAAGGCAAGTTGCATTCCAGTAGTAAGCAACAGGGCCAGAAAGCCCGCGGCACACACCAACCAACCCCAGCCACCCTCGGGATAGAAATGTGTTTGAATACCAGCCACGTCTATACCTGTAATAAGAAATTGTGCATTTACACGGAATGTCACTTAATAATAAAAAATGTAACAAAAAAATTTTTTTTCCATAAAAAATAAAATTATTTTTTTCTATTCGAAAATTTTTTCACTATTTTAATTTTTTGTTTTTCAATTCGTCAATTAGGGTGCGAATGTGTAATTTCGTTTTTACTTTCACTTTCACTTCCACTGATTCTAATTTTCGCTCTCATTTTTATTTTCACTTTCACTTCCAAATTAGTGAAAGTGAAAATAATATTGAGAGTGAAAATTCGAATCAGTGAAAATGAAAGTGAAAAAAAATTCGAATTTCAGTAGAACTGAAAATGAAATTACATAATCGATCCCCAGGTGCATGAAAAAAAAAACAAAACAAAAAGAAAACGATATTTCAGTAATTAGCGGCAAATTACCGTTTACAAAGCAATATGTATAAAGAATTAGAAAAATAATAATGAGCTCCTTATTATATGAAAAGAAAATCGATTTGAAAGCCGATCCTCTCACATTCTCAGAGTGAATAATAATGGGATGAATAATGAGGCATGAGGGTAAACGTATGTATATTTAGACTATTTACCTGTTCGACGAAGAGCTGGCACACAACGATGAAGGCTACGCAAATCACCAAGAACCCAGTTCGTGTTGCCTCCAACACTATCCTCCGAATCTACATTATAACGCGGTCGAGGGTCTGAAAAAATAATAATAATACTCTCAATTAATTCCACACGAAAATTCAAACAATTTAATTAACCAAAAAGCAAATAAAAATAAAATACATTGAAAATTTAATTAATAAACAAATAATATGAAAACTAAATAAAAAAAAAACGATAAATGAAACGCTAAAAAATATATATAGAACATAAAATATAATTTTCCCCAAACAGAACGTGTTTTTTTAAATACCTCCTCTTTTGTCAACAATTTTAAATGATAAAAAAAAATTGACAACTTTATAAAAAAAAAATAGATGTCCCCGTGTATGTATCTCGAGACGACAGGTGCATATTATGTTAAGTGGAAAACTAGAATTCATTCTTGCATGGAATACATTTCTCGTTTTATGAAATAAACCTTGCATTTCGCTACAAGTCTCGAATTGCAAATTTATTTTTCCTCAGTGTGCGCAGGGATTTATATTTTTGAAGCTCATGAAAATAATACGTTTTCAGAATTTTAAAAAAATGTCTCATTTAGGTATATATATGTATTTATACAAAAGTTTCAACTTTAGTTTTCAGTTAATACAAAAAAAAAAAAACATACTTGTCGACACAAATAAAAAATAATGGTGGCTTTAATTCAATGTTTTCGAATATAATTACAATCACAATACTTTTAATTTTTTTCTTTTAAAAACAACTAAAAAGAAAAAATTAAATAAATACTAAAAAAGAGAAAAATAATTAAATAAAAACTAAAGAGAAAAAAAATTACATTAAAATTAAAAATAGATATATAAATTTAAAATGTTTATCAAAAATAATTTTTGAAAAATTTCAATAAAATCGACTAAAAAAAGAAAATCGAGGAAAAATTCTAAAAGTAATTTGGGACAGAGACGTAAAAATAATTGAAATAAAAAGTTTGATATAAAAGTTCTTTTTATTAACTTTATATATATATGGGAAATAATTGATTGGAATTATTATTCGAGAATCACTTGTCAGAGTTTTCAAGTCGTCCAAGAATCGTGATTCTTTAAAGAAGTGGACGACATCGCGTTCCTATTTCATGATCGTTGACCTCTTTTTCTTATATAGCCTCATTCACTAAAGCACACTTTTTCTTGTTCTCTATTTTTCATTTCAAAATCGCGTCATTTTATATATCTTCCTCATGCAAATAGCGAAAGGGAGAAAAAGAACGCACATTTCACTCACTTTGATTTTTTTTATCATCTTTTGCTTTTCAATATATTTTTGTTTTCACATTTTGCAATTTGTCAATTTCATTATTAAATATTATATATAATACTTGAAAATTAATTTCCTAAAAGAATTACTTAATTTCGCAATTAATAATTAATAAAAAAAATTCCACAGACCTAATTGAAAAAAAAAATATCTTTGAAACTATACATCATCAAAACCATATTCTCATCATTCGTTTTCCGTTTTTCACGTAAGGTTTATCGCATGAATACATCTTTAATTCCAATTGAAGACGGAAATAGAGAATTTAATTTGCATACAGAAAGCTTTGAATCGTAAAAAAAAAACTTTATATGTATATACCTGATATAAAATAGAATATATATAACCGCGATCTGTGTCTTTTATCTTTAAATTACGCTTGAATGCAGTTTCACTTGGCTGCTCAAGAGACGATATAGGCAAGTCAACAAATTTATTCGTTCGTTGGCAACTTGTGTTTTTAGATTTGTGCTATGAAATTTCTTATTGCGCAAACTATATTGGTTCTTGTGTAATAAACAAAAAGAATTCATTAAAAAAAAAAGGGAGAAACAAATCAAATTGTTTAAGGTACAATAAATTTTTTTCCATCTTTCTGAACAATTCCAAAGATTTTTCTCAATGAAAATCTTTCTTTTTGAGAAGCTGGAGCTTGAATCATTCTTTCATATTTATAACCTCCATTTTGCTTTTATTTTATCAATTTTTATTTTTTTGAAAATGGAAATGAAATTTCCATAGCAACCGTTACCATAACAACCGTTACCATGGTAACTGTTTCCATATCATCCGTTACCATAGCAAATGTTTCCATAGTAACCATTGACAAATTTTTTATTTACAGTAACAATACTAATTTTTTTTAGTTTAAGTTTATGTCAAACAGGTTAAACCGCCTTTTATTTTTTCAAAAAAGCAATTTTTATTCTAATTAAATTTGAATTACTTTTCCGACATTTAACTTTTGACGGTGAGACGTTAATAAAAAAAAAAAAATTGTCCCTTAAATAAAGTTAATAAAGCGCAACCCTTTTTGCCGCACAAATTCATAAAAATCTACCTCAAAATTTAATTTCATGGAAATCACGTATAAACCACTCTCTCGTATATATATATGTTAACAACTGACCAAGAGTCAAGAATTTTTTTTTTTTATATTTTTTTGGTCCATGGTTTTAACCACGCCTTGGATATTTTTTGTTCAACGTGTGTGTTGACTTTTTCACAACTTTTTGCGGTCAGCCCCTCTAAAATTGTGGCTATGTTGCCTGTCACACGAGAATGGAGCGAAAAAATAATAAAAAAAAAGAAAAGAAAAATGTATAAAGGCGAGAAAGAGCGACAAGAAATTAACAATGGCTTGTCGAGTTATAAACGGTAAAAACTACCCTTTATCCAATTCTACGTGAGTGAACGGAATTAGAATTCGTTGATGATGCAGTTGCATACTTCATGATAAAGTTGAACGCCTCGCGCGTATAAAAAAAAAGAGCTGACATGAGGAAGGTTAGTTAATTTTTGATTAATGTTACAAACTATCTTTCGCAAGTTTTTCATGCCCTATAAAGATATGATTCCTCGAATAGAATATCCCGTAAAATAATAATTAAAAAAAAAAAGACAGAAAAAAAACTATTTCACGATTTACTTTCTTTATAAAAAAGCTAAGGAAAAAAAATCGCATTCTTTTCAGAAAATTCTAAACTCATAAAAAATTTTATAAACCTTAAAAATTATATGGATGTACTTTAAGAAGCATTTCTCCGAAATTTCTGCGTCTCTTTTTAGAGATCGCTTTTTTTAAGAATGTTTCAATTTAATTTAACAAAAAAACTGATTTATTGTTATTGTTTTAAATTTTCAAATTAAAAATTTTTTCTTTTGTATTTTAACATTCTTTTAATTTGTTTTGTCAATTTTGAAATTATTCAAAATAATTTAAATTTGAATAAAATTTGTTTCTAAATTATTTAAACTTTCTTTTACAAAATAAAAAAAATTCAATATTTTTATTTTTTTTTTTTTAAGGAAATTCGCGACAAGAGCAATTTTTATACAAAAGAGAAAGTTATAGTCTCTCGTGATAGAAAGACGCTGAGTTTACGCTCCGTTTGCTTATTTCTATCCTCAATATAGTGATTCGAAAGAAAATTTGATTTTCCTTGCCTTTGTCTGTCGATTTCAAAAAATGTCATATTCAAAACAAAAACAAAAAATAATCTCTTAAAAATTATAATTTCATTTAAAAACTATTCATAATAAAAATTATTATTTATTTCAAGTGGAGAAAAATTAAAAAAAAAAAATTGATGATAAATTGTCTTCTATAAATAATAATAATTTTATTATTTTTCCTATAGTAAAATTTTTAATTTTATAGAAAATTTATATTCATCATCTAATTCATCTTTCTATAAATGTAATGTAATTAGGCTAATTTCGAGGAAAATTATACATATTTCTAACCGAGTGAATTAACATTTGAATCGAAGGGAATGAAGCTGATTAGAGCGTTGCCTATTGTGTTTGATTTACTGATTAGGGGTAGATCTAATTCACATGGGACCGTATCTAATCGAGAGGGTTGACTCAGTGACTTGAGAAAATGATTCCATTATATTATCAAACAATAAATTGATCCACAGATAATAATAAATTAATGCGACTAAATATTTATCAAAACATAATCCTATTTAAAAAATAATTTTTTATCAATTTTATTTTATTTTTTTTTTGATTCTATTTTTATTTAAAAAAAACATTCTACTAATTGAAATTATTAGAATGGTTTTTAATTCAAATGTCAACCTAAACAATAATAAAGTTAATAATAATATATAACAATATAATTATTAATTAATTTATCTTTAGATTAATTGTCAACTTTTCTATTATATTTTTTATAGTTTCAATTAAAAAAAACTTGTCGACTATAAATATAATATGGCAAAAAGTAATTACCCACTGATGAGAAAAATACGCGAATCTAAGAAAAGATACTTAAGAACAAACACAATGCGCCACTAATGTAATTACTCTAATTGCTCACAAACATTTGCACAAATGAAAAAAAATTATTTTCCCTCTCTATACATATACAGGTATATATCAGAGCATATATTGTTGAGGGAAAATTAATGTGCGAAACATAATAACAGTAATAATAATAATAATAATGATGATAATCCTACTAGCAGAGGTTGGCTGGCCAAGGAAATGTCGACGGGGTTTGAAATTGCCAGCCACTTTCCCCACCCACCTATTTCTAAAACCCCCATTTCTTTCAGCGTGTGGTTCCGAGTTCTAAAGCAAAGAAGACCGCAGCATCAGCAATGGTCCACCGGAAGTAAGGTAGTTCCTATGTAATATGTATTACAGAATTGCAACAGGAAATGGTGTCCAAAGGGAGAGAGAGGAACGGGAAAAATGTCGTTTCCAACATCTCAGAAGATAAACGCGCCTAAGAAAAGCAATATTTTTAATTGCCTGTCTCTCAAAACGATGAATCTATTTTATTATTAATTTTACTAAAAGTACTTATATACAAAAGGGTTTGTTATTAAATAAAAAAATAATATATTCATATAATTATAAATATATTCTCTAAAAATTAATTTAAAAATATAAAAATATTTTTAAATTAATTTTTTTCTTAAATTACAAGTTCCCCAAATGTGCTCCTGCAAATGATACGGACCTAGATTCTTAGAAGTTATAAGGGGGCGTGTTTAGAAAGTCATCAGTACCCGAGGTCTACGGCCCTCCATCTGTCGGCGATATTTTAAATCGCACCGTATATTATATTATTATTATTATATTTTTTCTACTATTATTATTTTTATTTCAAATCAAAAATAAAAAAAAATTTTTTTGACAATTCACTTACCTCCATGATAGGAGTTCCGTTGTGGTACGTAGGTACCATTTTGCCTATCAGCACAACGACTTGGTGTATAATATTGCACAGGATGTTGTACGTAATTGTTCGGTGTGGACATATGAACTGGATGACAGTGCAAACAGCGCCGTGGTGTCTCGGGTGGTGCCTGAAAAATAAATCGACCACTCCCGTCAAAATTCAAAAACCCAAAAGAAAAGAATTTCTACAATTCAATTTAATCCACACCTACATATATAAATATTCCATAGAATGCTCTCAATAATGATTTATTACTGCATTCGATTTATATATTTTCGCATCCTTCCCCTTTTTTAAAAACACAAAAAATTGACAAAGAGGAAATTTAATTTTAAAATATAAAACAAATTTCCAAAATAAAAAATTATTGTGTTTAAAAACAAAAGGTATAGTAAAATTTTGGAGATCTTCCAATGAATAAGTTAAGAACTGGAGTAGTGGGGGAGCTTCTGAGAAGTCGCCCCCCACCACTAGGTGTATTCTTGGAATTCGATGGCTTCGTGCGTCTTCGGATAGCTACGCTCGCCTGTAGAAGAATAGTGGGGAGGAAAAACGAAGCGTTATTTCGTTCGTTAAGACAAAAGAACGAATTTCTTTTAATTCTAATTTATTTGCTTGTTTTTTTTGTTATTCTTTTTGTCCCAAAGCGTCATATAATTCAAAAATGGATTTTTTAAAAAATAAAAATAGACTAATATATTTTTTTTTGAAGAAAAAAAAAGATCTTACCATGGCGGAATGATGGGATCGTAGTGATCTAATCGATCCTGTTGGATGTAGAGACGGGACACTTCCCGCGAAGCTCATGGCGGAATTTCCACATCCCCCGGGGGTCGACCAACCCCCACGAACACTCGACCATCCCATACCACCTCCGCACTCATCGACAAGCATCTTTACCACCTTGAATTCGACATTTGTGCGAGTTTATTGCTTTCTAAATTAATCCCTTCCATCATTTTTTTATCAAAAGCCAAAATTTTCTTCAACATTTCACAACTCATAATTTTCCAATGAAAAACAAAAATATCTTTCTCCCTTTATTTTTTGCTTGCAGTGATTCTGAAAAATAGAACAAATTAAATTATTAATAATTATATATTTTACGAAGGATTGAAAAATAAAATTAAGTTTTGAAGAAACAGAAGCAAAAATTATTGCGAAAGTTGTGAAATTTAAAAATAAATTCCGTAATTCATCAAATTGTAACCTCAGTGTTTATTATTCAAGTTACATGCATGAATGTACGGTACATGTCACGCATAGAAACGGTTTCAACTGTAGGGTCTCATTGAGAATTTTTAACTTTACAAACTGGAGAAACTACGTGAAGCTTAAAACGAGGCTATACATGTATATATACATATAGTGAATTCAGGAAGCCATACAAAGTTGTACTATGTTTCGGAGACAGGTACAAGATAATGCGCGCACCATGCATTAAACATATATGTATATATATTTCCTGAAAATTATTATATTTTTCTTGTTATTGAAATTTAAAAAAATATATAAAATTTCCATGAATAAATTGATCAAAAATAAATTTTTTTAATATAGTTATTAAAAAATAAACAAAAATTTTAAACTTCCATTCTAATCAAATAGTATGAATAAATCAATAATTCAGAAAATTCTCAATTCATGGATTTTATATTTATATATATATATATATATGAGAATAACTTAGTCACATACCAAAGAGAATTCTCGATCATAAACTTGTTTTATTAATTTCTCTAACTTTTATCAAATATTTCACAAAACAATTAATTACATAAACATAAAGTAATAAAAAAAAATTATAAAAAATAAAAATTATTATTATTAATATTAATTTTAATAATATAATAAAAAAATAATAATAAAAAAAATTATCTTCAAAAACGAAACAGAAAGTAAGTAAAATTTCGGAGTTTTACAGTGTAAGCAGAAGTTATATACTCGAGTAGAGGGGGGCTTCTAAGAACTTCTCCCACCACTACGTCTATTCGCGGAATTTTCTTACTTCGTGCAGCTTCGGCTAGCTACGCTCGTACGTAGGAGAAGGGGAAAGAAGCGGGGAGTGATTATATTTTTTATTTTTAATTTACATTATTTATATTAATTTATATTAATTTAAATAAATTTATATTAATATACATTTATATTATTTTATATTATAATTACAACAAAAAATCGGAATTCCGTTGGACCATATATAATATATTTTGTTAACTTTAATCAATGTAGTATTTTGCTATGTATATGTAACGAAGAGAAATTAATCTACTTTGCTTTCACATTTGACGGATTCAATTAGCCAAAAATCTCTGATATGTTTGAATCCGCTTATATTGCAATGTCAAAAGCTCTCTGGTTTATTTATTTTGAATTTATTTTTTTTTCTGCTTTTTATCCACAATGGTGCGATTTTATCTTTTATAAATATATTTCACTCGTATATATACACACACAGACGGAAATCGTCTACACCCGTATTTCCGGAAACCCATAATAATTCTATGCATGTATACTCGTGTTCTGAATAACGACACCACAAATGTTTCTCGGCAATCAGAATAAGTATTCTATTCCTCTGAGTACCTCTTTCGCAAATTATTTTATTATTATTCATAAAAATTCTCATATTTATTGCCTATTTCTGTTCGCCTAAACTATTTTTTTTTTTGGAAATATTATTTTTTTATTATTATTTTTATTTTTCTATAATTATATTTTTATATTTAATTTAAAAAAAATGAATAAATATTTAATGAAAAGCAAATATAAAAAATTGTAATAAAATTTAACTAATTTTTTTATGATTTTATTTATATAAAAGGAATTTTTAAAAACTTTTTTCCATTTCATTTTTTCTAAACAGAAAATTAATTAAATTAAATGTTATATATAAAATTTCATTTGAAAATCATTGAGTGTTTCACTCGGAAAAGCGATTGACCGAATTGCTTGTTTTTTTCATTTTCAGCCGTCACGTTTTTTCTGTCAAACACAAAAAAAAATAAATATGAATTGTTCTTTGTATTTTTTTTATACTGTCAATCTATAATTAATACGTCATTCTGTATGATATTTCATTGCCTTCGGCTTGAGGCAAAAAGTTTCATTAATTTTCCTACAGGCTTGATTTCCAACTCACAGTTGGACTTTGTCTCGAGAGACTGTGAAAAGTAAATTAAAAAAAAAAAAATGAAAAAATGTGAATATTTTACCCTCTTAAAGGAGATGTTATAACCGAAATTAATTTAATTCCATTTGAATAAGGACTATTCAAATATTTTCATGATAAAACATTATTTGTTCCATTATTTTTCATGCTATATTTTTATTTTCTTTTTGAAGAATAACTTAAATTTTTTCTTTTTTTACTGTTTTTTCTCAGGAAATCTATTTTTTTATACTGACACAAGCGAAGTAAATTTTCCCTTAATTTTCATTTATACAGGGTGTATATGCATCATATTTATTTTATATATAAAATTTTATTTATTTAATATTTTATCAGGCTAAATATAAAAATTTATTAAATAATTTTACGCATATTAAAATTCAAATAAACTTTTGAAATTCAGATTTACCGAGAGCGAAAAGCAAAAAAGAGTAAAATAAAACTAGATACAAAAGCCACAAAACATATTTTAAACATATATATGTGAAAATATAACGAAATATCGTGTAAATAATAAAATATTTAATACACAAAAATAATAAATAATAAAAACTAAAATAATATATTATTCAGTATGAATAAAATAATAAAATAAATTTTTTTTTAAATATAAAATAATTTTTTTTTTTTGTTGAAAGAACGAGGCGTCAAGATTTATATATTGAAAAAAATGTGAAGAGAAAGATTGAAAAGCAAACATGATGGACAGTTTCAAAAACAGTTTTGATATTGAAATATATTTTTTTAAAATAATAATAAGAATAATAATAATAAAAAAAAGAATCTCCGCCCAAAAAAACTCAGATCAAATAAATGTACCTTTCTTTTCAATTTTTGTATATGACATATGTGCAATGACAATTTTTCACCTGCGAATTTGACAATATATTGAAAAACGATTTTTTAGACGAATTTTCTTCATGAAATCTTTTCCTCCCGTCGACAGTTCGCAAATCGAAACGATTGATAAAAATTCAAAACAGAATTTTATATATATATATTGATCACAAAAATGAAATCAATTCTATTTCGATATAAAAACATTAAATTTTGAAAAATAAACTAAATCTTTTTTTTTCCTCTACAATGACAATTTAATTGAGAAGCAAATGAATAATTAATATTACTAAAAGGGAAGAAATATTAGAAATCGATTTTAATTTTCTCTCACAGGGGGAATATCGAATCGAGGTTCTTTGAACAGTCGTCGCGGTAGTGAATTAGAATTTTTTTTTTTTGAATATATATATATATAACACAAAAATTGAAGCTGCAGCTGACGCCTTATGGAATGGAGTCTCGGTGTAACACCAGAACTCATTCACGAATCTAAAATATCCTCGTCTTCGAGGGAAGGTCACGACAGCAACGAGAGTGTGGATTCAATCAAGTGGGATTACCTTTTTGCACCCTTCAAACTTCCATCATTTCTGAAACACGCCAAAAAAGTCATTGCCCTTCAAAAGATAGAGAAAGAGAGACGTATTTTTGGTCCATGGCAACCCCCCTTATAAACAAACTCCATTCAAGTTGTCTTAATATCTGTAAGATGTGCGTTAAGATGACGTGGAAAAAGCCACAGATTATGGTGTTAGATTATTAGAAATTTATAGCACTGCTTTTTTGGATAAAAGCGAAGCGACATCGCTCACACAATTTATGACGGAAATCTATAACTTGACAAATAAATAATCAAAATTGCCGAAAATATTCTTTTTAAACTAGGAAAACTAGCGAGATCCTAACCAGAGCCCTATTTAAGAATAGTAGTATAAAGATTCGTTTTATTTATTAGTAACATTTTTTTTTTACGAAAGGCAAATTTAGAGATTTAATTTTATTCCAATTTATTCAAACTAGGAAAACTGGACATTTTTTCAATCTAGGAAAACTGTTCAGGCCCTGTCTAGTGCTCTATTTGAAATAAGACAAACAGAGGGAAATTCAACAGAATTTTTTTTTCCAATGAAATTTGGAATTATTAAGAGAAAAAGAATATAATTTTCCCTTTTCGATGGATGATTGATAAGAAGCCATTGAACACACAAGGCGTATATTTCGAAGTATGGTTGAAAAATAAATTTCACCTAGATTTTCTTTAATATTAAAAATTTTTTTTTTGTGGAAAATTTATCGTCAAGAAACACTGCTTATCATATAGTATAGAATGTATGTATATATATGGGAACCAAGTGAACTTCAAGTTGGACCAAATATTATATTGAAGAAGCAATATATGAGAAGTCAGAAGGAAAATTCTGTGCTTTTCAAATAAAAGAAATCTCCAATTCTCCCCCGCGGGCGCTTACATGCATTCTCATGTACTACGTGTTGGCACGCAAAGAGGACTTCTAAGCAATTGCATATTTACTCTATTCTCACACAAGTACGTCATATGAAAAAAAGCCAACGCAATTTTCAATTTCAATCTCTGATCTTTCGCAATGTCATTATTATAGAAATAACTATAAATAAGAAAAAAATTTAATTAAGGATATTCTAAATTTTTTTGATTCAAAAAAAAATATATATATATATATATAAATCAAAGAAACATATATCTTTGATTCCTAAAGTTTGGTCTAGAATCTTCAATTTTGTTTTACTTAATTAAACATAGTTTACAACTTTAATATAGGTTTTACTTCCTTCAAGTTTGTTCTACTACCGTCAAGTTTATTTACAACCTTATAAAAATAGTTTACAAACCTAAAATTTGTTTAACTTCCATTTAAGTTACTTTACAACCTCTACGTTTGCTTTAGAACCTTCAATTTTATTTTAAAACTTTATTTGAGAATAGTTTACAACCTTAAAGTTCGGACTAGAACCTTCAAGTTCGTTTTACAACCTTATTAGAATAGTTTACAACCTTCAAATTTGTTTTACT